AGATCGCCAACGTAGCCCGTCCCCGGTCGACGTGATTTTGCCACGTGGCAGGTCCTGGTTGGCCAGGCCTGCTGACTGGGTCTGCTAACGTGACTGCTGAAGTGGCACGAGCGTTTTTTTTTTTTTTTTTTTTTTTCCTTCTTCAATTTTCCACGGACGCTACAAATTAAGTTTAACCTTTAAATTTGCTAAAATGATTCATATTTATTTAGATCAAGAAGTATGTTACTTGTTTAATTTAAACATTCAAGGAAACTAAAATATTATTTTGATTGGGAAACTGAAAAATTATAGTTAAAAATAATATCAATTTTATTAAATATGTAATAAAAAATTATATACAGTTAAAAGTATTAAGTTTAATATTTCATACAAAAAGTAAAAACAGTATAATTAGTTAAAAAATTATTTAAAATATAGTTTATAAATAACAAATGATAAAAATATAGTTTAAAATAATTGAGAAACACCTTTAAGTTTCTACGTCACGATCCATGTGTGTACATCAATCAATCCACCGTTCTCTTTATGTAGCACAACTTTACATCACTAATCCTTTCTACATCAATTCATTAATAATTAATGCGAAATTTCAAATAAATTAAAATATTTTATGAAATTTATTTTAATATTAAATACAATTATAAATAAAAATTTATATTAATTAAAAATCATAATTTTAATTTTTAATTTAAACGAAGTACTTTTTTATAAATTTTATATTAAAAATATAAGAATATAAATTTATCACTACACAATTAAAGATATAAAACAAACCGGATCATTTTTGTGTTGTATATATAAATTAAATTACATTATATATTATTAAATTAAAGTAAAATATAATATATAAACATTCCCTTTATTATTCTATCATCATCAGATGGAACCCGTCTGAGCAAAACGGTGTCGAATTTTGATAGGTTGGATTTCATATTTCGATGGCTTTATTTAGTTCTTTTGTTGGTAGGAAGGTTTAACTGCCACGTGTCTAGCATCACAACCAACAACAATAAAGATGCGTGCGTGGTGACTCAATAATTTATTTTTTAGATCAAATGTCAAATAAATCACAATTATTACCCAAAATTATAATTAGAAATTAAATAAGATTATTAAGGTAGCAGACTCGAATCTTTAATTTATTATAAAAAATTATATATATATATTGATTATTAAATTAAGTAATAAAAGAGGTTTAAAATATAAAAGATAATTTTCATCTAAAACATGCCATTGTTTCTTAAATTCAATAACTACTCTTTTCCTTTGTACAACTAAATTTTTGTACAAATGCAATTGAATTTCCACTTTAATTAATAAGAGTTTGGAATAAAACACCATTGAATCAAATTCGAACAAATACAAACTTCATATTCTTGAATTATTTTGTTTTGTCGTCTTATTTTTCTCCCCTCCCCTCGTACAAGCAACCTCTCTCTTAAGGGAAAGACAATATTTTTGGAATCCAAACAAACAAATGCATTCAATGATTATACATCAAATGAAATTCATCTTCTTTTTCATCACTTCATGTGAATTTTAATATTTTTTCAAATAGAATTGGAAAATTATGAATAAGTATTTCGTTCTTAAAAATACATTTAATTATTTAAATTTAAATAATAATTTTTAATGATCATTAATTGAGACAATTATAATAGCAATTGATAAAATAAATTTATTAGTAACAAGTCTTAAATAAAATTTTGCTCTTAAAAAAATGAGATTTTCAATTTTAAATTATTGCCGAATTTTGTCTTGTATTGCAAATGGGTATTTTACAAGAAAAGAAAAAAAGGAATTTTTTTGGTAAATACTAAATATAGTATGAGAAAATTTTATTTATTGCCTAATTCAGCATTTTCCAATTAATTTGTTAAAGAATGCTTAACCAAAAAAAAAAAAAAAAAAGAAAGAAAAATGAAGAATCATGTTTAGGCTTTAACCCATTTGAATTCCGCTCTCCAAATTCACTATTATACATTAATTAAGGTACTAATTACATCGTTATTTACAAAACTCCCTCTAATTAAAAACCAAGAAGAAAGAGAGGAGAAATTACAAAATTTAAGAAAAAAACATGGGTGAAACTGTTAAAAACACAAAATCCCTAAATAAACATTGTTTGTTTTTATTTAATTCGCAGTTATTGATCTTCTTCAAGTTTAGCGTTGTTGTTTACTGTTGATACTTGATCACCTTGCCATGTCCAAACAATGTCTTTCAAACCTGGCCTAACGTCTTCCTCGCAGAACTTAGCGTATTCCAAGGTGTCACCGGAGGACTTGCAGAACTCGACGACAGCGACCTCCGGTGCCACCTCGAACACTTCCGCAGTCACCGCCAATGGCCCTTTGCGCCCTTCTGTCCTGCCCTGAAGCTTAAACTTGAACTCTTTCAGCTTGGATACCTTAAAATTCATCCCCTTGGCGACGCCTTCGATTTTCGCCATGATCGCGCCGACCGAGCACTTCGACGTGAAAACAGACCCAGTTTTTCTCTTGTTCTCGAACAGGCTCGACAAATCGAACCCAGATGACATCGAGGAGATGAACTCGAAAGCGTTGAAGAACTTGGGCGATGGTAATTTGGTGTCTTCTTGGCCCTCAATGGCGGTCGGAGGCGGTTCCTCAGTCGAAAAAGCTTGATGAGTAGTGAGTCCTCGTCGAAACCAGGGAACACGCATGATTGCAGGAATGGTGATTCGTCTTTCTGGGTCTGCAACTAATAGTTTTGACAACAATCGTCTGGCATCCGTCGAGAACCACGGAGGAAACTCGAACTCAGCTTTGAAAATTTTTCGGTACATTTTCATGAGATTCTCGTCTTGAAAAGGCAAGAATCCAGCCAGCAAAACGTAAAGGATTACCCCACAAGACCAAATGTCGGCTTTGGATCCGTCGTAACCTTTCTTCCTTAAAACCTCCGGCGCCACGTACGCCGGCGTCCCGCACTGAGTGTGGAGAAGCCCGTCGTTGCGGAGCTGTTCCGGTAACGCCGATAATCCGAAATCAGAGACTTTCAGATCTCCGTTATCGTCCAACAAGAGATTCTCCGGCTTCAAGTCTCGATGTGAGACTCCTCGGCTATGGCAGAAATCTACAGCACTGATTAGTTGCTGAAAATACTTTCTCGCCTCATCTTCTTTAAGTTTTCCCTTGGCGACCTTCGCGAAAAGCTCGCCGCCGCGGACATACTCCATGACGAAGAAGATTTTCGTCTTTGTTGCCATGACCTCTTTGAGCTCCGCCACGTTTGGGTGGCGAACCAGTCGCATCACGGCGATTTCGCGCTTGATCTGCTCCATCATACCTTCTCTCTTCACTTGATCTTTGCTTATCACTTTAATGGCGACGCTCTCCCCCGAATCTATCTGCTTCGCGTAATATACTTTTGCGAAAGTCCCCTTACCCAATAACCTTCCCATCTCATATTTACCAAACAAAGCAGGCCTCTCGTCCATACTCGTCTTTTTCCTTTTCCGCTTCTTATTCCTTTACGAGATCAGAACCAACAGAGTATATACTGTAATCGAATCCACGAAAGAACAGAGGATATGCTGATTTTGAAGGATTCCATTAATTGGGTAATCGAGAACAAAGTTGAATTTTCAAGAGATGGGTATGGGGGGATGCGTTGAATTACTACCGGGTTTGGTGTTATGAGTGAAGGAGATGTGGGAAATTTGTCTGGTAGCCATTGGAGCACCTGGTTTTTGTCAGCGGCAAGGAGCACACAGAAATTGGGGTTTCTCCTATTATAAGAAAAAAGATGGAGAAGAAGGGTTTGATAAATGCGTTAGTGGTTAGGGTTATACAGCAACCAAACAAAAACCGAAAAAGAAAAAAAGAAAAAAAAAGTCAATTGTGAAATTATAAGGCTCCTGCTCTACTTCTCTCTGTTCCGAAATTACTGGTCTCTGTTTTTTTCACTTGCTATATACTCCTTCTTTCATTCATTCTGTAGCGGCTGGTGCTTGTTTGGTTACCAGGATTTTGAATTTTTATTTATTTATTAAAAAATATTATAGTCGATTAGAATTTTTGTAAATATTAATATTTAAAAATTGTAATAGAAAAGATAAAATAAATATTTATAATCTTTGTAGGAAATAATAAATATTTTATTACAAAATTTTAAAAAGATATGACAATAAAATAATAAAAATAGAAAGGAAATAACAGAATAGTACAATAATTTAAAAAAAAAAAAAAATTTCTGTAAATATATATCTGTATAAGGCTTGCACATAAGGTTATGAATTAAATTAAAAATTAAATATAAACTAAATAGATTATAAAATAATAAGAAGGAACATCTATAACTCATATAATCTAGAAATTCATAATATATATATATTTTTCAAGGAAAAAAAATTAGTACTTTTTTTTTTAATACGATATAATATTTTTTATAATACTAAAAATTACCTCATTATTACAAAATATAAATGTATATACATATATATAACATATATGTTGTGTATGTGTGTTTAAGTGTGAGTTTTTTTTTAAATAAATAATTTTAAAAATTAAACATATGAAAAAATAATTAAACAATAGATTAAATATATAAATCCATAATTAAGTTTTATAAAATTTTATTAAACTATACAAAAATAGTATTAAACTAACGAGCATCGGTTATTTAAGTTTTAACTTATAATTGAAACTTTCAACTCTTATTTAACACAAAATTAAAATTTATTGAGCTATATTGAAAATAATAAAATATATGATTTAATTATGTTAATTTTAAACCAATTTTTAATGTGAAAAGGACAAATAAATGTCACTCAATTAGTATATTCTCTTTTTAATTCCACTTAATTTCATTTATAATTAAATTAATTTTTAAAACCTTAATTGAAATTAATTAATAGTACGTACGCGATTCCAAATATTAAAAATGATTAAATAAAATAAATACAAATTAATGGAGGGGGCCTACTATGTTTAGAGGAGTTCATTAGCATATGGGAGAGCAGCTAATGATACTCCATATGCATATATGTTATATAAATATATATATATATATATATATTAGATTAGATATTTAATCTATTAAGAAAGAGAAATGGATTAGTGGGAAAATATTTTAACATTTAATCAATAAAGAAACATATAATGACAGCGGATAGTGTATAATGAGGTCTATTTTATTTATTTAATATTTTATTTCAAATATTATTTTCTTTAATTTACTCAATAAAATATCATTTTTATTGAATAATTTTCAAAATTTTTAATATTTTCTTCAAATATTTTTTTAAATATTATTTCTATACGGAATTTACGGGCTTCTATAATTTGACTCATGCACTATTTTTCGTTTGCATTTTTATACTCACAATTTTTTTATTTTTTATTATTATTATGAACTTAGTAAACTTTGGCACAATTCAAAATTATATCATATTTGTATAGAGTATAATATATATCATGTACATCATTATTTTAATAAACACCAATAACTGTTAAATTAAATTGAAATTATATATCTTATGAATAATTTAAAAACAATTAAACATAAATAACTATTTAAATAATTGAAATTTTGCAATTAACATACTTTTAATGTAAATTTTGGTGATTAAAAATTTAAATATATGTTGACGTGATCTGTTCTTCATTTTTGTGAGTATGCTCGTCTACATTTTTCAAGTGGACAACATTGATTTGTTAAAATTGTAAAGCTCCGAAACTTAAAGGAAAATAAATTTATAAATTTAATGCAGAAGCGATTAATAGAGTTAGGATTTATATTCCTTAAACAATAATTTTAAATGCTCAATAGAATTATAAGAATGTCCCATCTGAAAAATAAACGAAAATTAAAAAAATAAAATGAAAAATAAATAACTAAACACTATAGAATAACCTTCACTAGTACTTGAAGAGAGTCTGGATAGTGAATTATTCACAACCCTCTTGCTGATCGGGATCTGGATGTTGGTTCTCTTGATCTGAAACAGTTAATGAAAAGGTGAGCTACACTACCTCAGTAATAATATCACACTGATCACAGATACGAAAAAATGAAGACTAATAAAAATCATAAAATAACTAATGGAGCACTTAATTTGAGTAAATTCATTTAATATAAAGAAGACCGTTTATTCCGTACTTACTATAACGAATTTTTTAAAAACAACCTACGAAGACCCTTATTCATACCACTTTTTATTTTCATGCCTAAGAGAAAAACAGACGATAACTTTTCTTTCTCACCTGCTTACTAGTACCCCTAGGAGTTCATAGGAATATCCCCTATTCGTAAACCTAATATCCAATTTTAACAATTAACCGGCCGTTTCCATATCTCGTCCGGTAATGGGCATCAAATATTCCATCGCCTCAATACCCGTTCGGTATGAGGGTGAACTATATCTCCAAAAATTTTCCGGTAAGGGACTTTCCAGCCCGTCCGACTGAAGTAACGTTCACGGCATGGTTCCCTATGTACCGAGCTCGTCCGCCCTTTCCCTGGGTAATCAACAAGTATTTTACATACAAATCTTTATTAACAAATAACCAACAAACTCATACCAATATCTCATATCACATTCATATATCAATTAAACTACATTCATGCTGATGGTATATAAACAAAATAACAAGATAAGTTAATAATACTATTGAATTATAAATTAAGAACCTGTACTGTACGAAAATTAAGCAAGTAAGACAGTGCAAAAAAATAAACAGGAATCAAGACAATTGTGAACTAACCGATTCCAGCTCCACTAGTAATCTGTAATTATTTTTAGAGTTTTATAATTTTTTACAAAATTATATATCGTTAAGCCTCAATTTACAGTAACGGAGAATAGAGTGAGGGATCATTACGTGGATCAGTGTTTTGAGATGTCGAGTTATCTAATACACCTCTTAATGGGTATCGAGTTCCCTGAATTTTTTATGTAGAATTTAAAATACTTGTCACATACCTAAAAATATCTTAAAAATCTACAATTGGTGTCCAAAACTCATTCCAACCAATTTTGTGGTTCCGGCACAGTGGCGCTACCATGCTCGGGCACGATCTCTGCTACCCACGGTGGCGATTTGCCTCGACTTGGCCGATTTTGGCCGTATCCCTGCAGAAAAATATGTTAGGAGCTTTGGTTGGCCGAAAAATAAAAAAAAATCGAACCTACCAATGGGGGGACCTCCGGGTGAAACTGCTCTGCCAGTCCTCCTTTGCGACTGAGGTTCTTTCTTCAGCTACTTTGCACAGAAAATGATGGTGAATATAATGATAAAAAAATTACATGAAACGAGAATAGGGAAGGGTTTTGGAGTTTCAGCCGCGACAACTCCACGGGGCTTTACATGCAGTTTCTAGCTCACTTACTATCCTTCTTACTCCGA